TTTAAAAGATATTATCATCATGTCAGATAGTCAAGCAGCCATCAAAGCGCTGAGCTCTTACGTAATCAGCTTAAAAATGGCCTGAAGATGAGCTAGGCGAGGAAAATACAGTTACTCTTACTTGGATCCCGGGATATAACGGGGTAAAGGGTAACAAGATTCCAGATAATCTCGCAAGGAAAAGGACTCGAACACCCTTTGTGGGACCTGACCCGTTCTGCGGTATCAGCAGTAAACAATATTAGGAGAGATTAAAAAAGAATTGGGCAGTAGAAGAACCAATAATTGGAATAATCTCTTGGGGCTAAGACAGGCTAAAATACCTCTGGGCGAATATAACCAGAAAAGATCGGAAGCCTGAGCAAGAACATGGTACGCAATGTAACTGGGCATTGCCGACTCAAAGAACACCTTAGTAAACTTAAAATATTAGAAGATGATGTGCAGATTTTATGAGGAGTTGGACGAAACCTTCATTCACATTCCGACCGAATGTGTAGCACTCCAGAATCTAATGCCACTATACCTAGGAGCATATCAAATAGAAGAGGGAGATTTAAATAACTTGAAGCCACTCTAAATTCTACACTTCCTTGAAAAAATACAATAGTTTTTTAGGTCGAAGTGTATTAATACCCCATTCCCAACATAACATGTATATTACTAACTTGGCTAGATTGTTTAACTACAAAAATTAAACTCCTGCTCAATATACCTAGTGAAAGTGATTTCCCCGTCAAAATGGACTCCCAGGTCCTTTATAAATTCCGGTCTACTTAACACAGTGCCATTAATTTGATAATCAAAAATAAAATACGATTTTTCCTGGTATATGTCATGACCCTACATTTATCAAAATTGAAGTAAAAAATTTTCAGTGTACTAGTGATAATTCAACTAAACACCTATGCAGTATAAAGAGTGATCCACAAAAAAATGTTTTTAAAGTAGGCCATGACCGACAAACATACGAGTCATGTCTGTGATTACTACGGACGACTCTGATTTAAAAAGAAGAACTAAACGATCCCACATATGTGAATTTTTCCAAGGCCTGCATTAAAAACATTTTTTTGTGGATTAAACCCTCGTTATATTTCATTAGGCTGTTCCACACTGTATTTATTTAAAAACGCACGTGAATCCTCATTTATTTAAATACCTACATTCTATTGCGGTTAAACAAATTATTAATGACATAATGGGTATTTTACAACCAGTTTCTCCGAAACTATTCAAATTAACTTAACATAAATATTCGGAATCTTGAAAGATCCATTTCATAAAAAAACGCAGAGTTTATGCTATGAAAAAAAATATTACAAACTCTGCAGGGATCTCCTCTGACAAGATTCCGAGAGACTGGCGTCTAAACATATTATTTGCCACAAAACAATTGCAATTAAATGAGTATAAACACGATGTCTTATCATCTTATCAAGAATATAGCACGTTTTAAATTTCCATAGAAATGCGAAAAAATCCGTGATTCATGTTGAACGAAGCGCCAGATCTCGAATGAAAATATTTACCTTTTTTGTTTGATACTAAATCCGGTCTAAGCATCATGTGAAAAAATTAAAATTAGATAACATAGACTGAAGGTTCTTTTTTGGTGTTGTTCAAAGATAAATTTATATCTCTACGTCAATGCCGATTTCAACAATCTTTTATCCACATAATATATTTTCAACCTTATGAGCATTAAATTCTGATGTTAAAAATCCTTACTTAGATATTATTGTTTTAATATTATGAAAGAATTTTTAAAATATTGTTGGACCCTTATTAACTACCCTAGAATGGGATCAAAATTATCAGATCTAAATCCACTGTATTAGAAATGAAATTAAGTTTATTGTAAAATGTAAAATATTGAAAAGGTCACTTTAAAATAAGTAAATGAATTATAGTAAATTTATTTTTCTTGTGAATCTATCATTAACCATTACACGAGAGTTGCATAATGTACTATTATTTAACTCTGCTAAGTTTGATTAATGTAATTTTAAAGTAATCGGGAAAAGAGATTTTTTTTTATGTACCTGAAGTTCTAAACGTTTTTTTTTTTAAACGAAAATATAAAAAAAAAATTCAAGGATTGGCTAGCATCTCGCTAGAAATCATCACATAGCTTACCTGCGGTTATCAAAAGGTATACAAAATTATATTTTGCTGACAAACCCGAAATTAACCCCTACACTTAGATAAACTCACCCCGTAAAGATGTAGAAACTACAAAGAAACATAATCAGGGGTAATATCGTCCTAGAAATTCGAGAGAATCTTCCTCGTGCTAACCAAAGGCTAGAAAAAAATCATTATCGACGTAGGGCCACGGGAACCACCCCTTTATTTAAATAAACCCCCTTTAAAATCTTAAAAAATTCAAACAAGCCTAGTATCGACCTGAAAATTCGTGGCAATCTTTCTCGTGAGACCTTCAAGCTAAAAAAAAATCATCATAGACATTGGGCCACGGAAATCACCCCTTTACTTGAATAAACGCACCCTTTAAAACCTTAAAAAATTAAAAAAAAATTCAAACAAGCCTAGTATCGACCTGAAAATTCGTGGCAATGCTTCTCGTGACACCTTCAAGCTAAAAAAAATCATCATCGACATTGGGCCACGGGAACCACCCCTTTACTTGAATAAACACACCCTCTAAAACCTTAAAAAATTCAAATAAATTCAAACAAGCCTAGTATCGACCTGAAAATTTATAATAATTTCTCTCTTGATACCTTCAAGCTAGAAAAAATCATCATTAACATAGGACCACGGGAACCACCCCTTTACTTGAATAAACACACCCTCTAAAACCTTAGACAATTCAAAAAAAATCAAACAAGCCTAGTATCGACCTGAAAATTTATAATAATCTCTCTCGTGGTACCTTCAAGCTTGAAAAAAATCATCATCGACATAGGGCCACGGGAACCACCCCTTTATTGAAATAAACGCACCCTTCAGAATCTAAAAAAATTCAAACAAGCCTAGTATCGAGCTGAAAATTCGTGGCAATCTTTCTCGTGACACCTTCAACCTAAAAAAAATCATCATCGACATTGGGCCACGGAAACCACCCCTTTATTGAAATAAACACACCCCTTAAAATCTAAAAAAATTCAAAAAAATCCAAACAAGCCTAGTATCGACCTGAAAATTTATAATAATCTCTCTCGTCGTAGTTTCAAGCTTGAAAAAAATCATCATCGACATAGGGAACCACCCCTTTATTTAAATAAAGACATCCCTTAGAATCTAAAAAATATTCAAAAAAAATCAAACGAGTCTAGTATCCCAGGACAAACTAGGCTTGTTTGGATTTTTTTGAATTTTTTTAGATTTTAAGGGATGTGTTTATTTCAATAAAGGGGTGGTTCCCGTGGCCCTATGTCGATGATTTTTTTCAAGCTTGAAGGTACCACGAGAGAGATTATTATAAATTTTCAGGTCGATACTAGGCTTGTTTGGATTTTTTTGACTTGTCTAAGGTTTTAGAGGGTGTGTTTATTGAAGTAAAGGGGTGGTTCCCGTGGCCCTATGTTGATGATGATTTTTTTCTAGCTTGAAGGTGTCAAGAGAGAAATTATTATAAATTTTTAGGTCGATACTAGGCTTGTTTGAATTTTTTTGAATTTTTTAAGATTTTAGAGGGTGTGTTTATTCAAGTAAAGAGGTGGTTCCCGTTGCCCTATGTCGATGATGATTTTTTTCAAGCTTGAAGGTACCTCGAGAGAGATTATTATGAATTTTCAGGTCGATACTAGGCTTGTTTAAATTTTTTTGAATTTTTTTAGATTCTAAGGGGTGTGTTTATTTCAATAAAGGGGTGGTTCCCGTGGCCCTATGTCGATGATGATTTTTTTCTAGCTTCAAGGAACCACGAGAGGCATTGCTACGAATTTTCAGGTCGATACTAGGCTTGTTTGAATTTTTTTGAATTTTTTAAGGTTTTAGAGGGTTTGTTTATTCAAGTAAAAGGGTGGTTCCCGTGGCCCTATGTCGATGATGATTTTTTTCAAGCTTGAAGGTGTCACGAGAAAGATTGCCACGAATTTTCAGGTCGATACTAGGCTTGTTTGAATTTATTTGAATTTTTTAAGGTTTTAAAGGGTGTGTTTATTTAATTAAAGGGGTGGTTCCCGTGGCCCTATGTCGATGATGATTTTTTTCAAGCTTGAAGGTACCACGAGAGAGATTATTATACATTTTCAGGTCGATACTAGGCTTGTTTGGATTTTTTTGAATTTTTTAAGGTTTTAGAGGGTGTGTTTATTCAAGTAAAGGGGTGGTTCCCGTGGCCCTATGTCGATGATGATTTTTTTCTAGCCTTTGGTTATCACGAGGAAGATTCTCTCGAATTTCTAGGACGATATTACCCCTGATTATGTTTCTTTGTAGCTTCTACATCTTTACGGGGTGAGTTTATCTAAGTGTAGGGGTTAATTTCGGGTTTGTCAGCAAAATATAATTTTGTCTACCTTTTGGTAACCGCAGGTAAGCTATGTGATGATTTCTAGCGAGATGCTAGCCAATCCTTGATATTTTTTTTTTATATTTTCGTTTAAAAAAAAACGTTTAGAACTTCAGGTTCATTTTTTTTTTCTAAAAGAATTTCAAATCATTACAACAATTTGCAGTGTATATTATATTCTGATCAGGAAAATTAAGTTATCTTTGTCATATCTTCCACACTTTTGAATCATGATGTCTTTTTCAATTGAGTGTGCTTAATACATTTTTAAATTTGTTGCAGAATTTGTGGCAACATTTTCAAACGAGTTATCAATTACATCCTTCCTAATTAGTATGTCAATAAATATAACAGAGAGAGAAAGAGAGAAGTAGTTATCTTGTTGAAGTAATTATATTTTTTCAACAGCCCAACATATAAGACTATTTTAGTCTCCCTCGTAAAATGTATCCCAACTAACTTGGTTCGATATTTCTGTTAGGGAGTTCAGTTAAAAGTGTAATAAAATTGAACTTACCGATGAACTCGAAAGCTTCTTCAAAATACTGTTTGAGGTTTTGATGTCCGGAATCTGTAGCCGGTATTTGTTTGTAAGTGATGCCGCACTCTTCGTGGTACCCCGCTAATTGGGAAGTAACATTTAGAACGCAGGTGGTACCGAGGCCCCTAAGGCACGACAGATCAGCTGCATCTTTGCTGTTGCCCAGGTACAAAAAGGGTAAGACCTTGGATGCGGGATACGAGTCGACATCTGCCAGCGTTGCTGGTGATGAAGGTAAACCTCGATTCGATAAACCGGACATTAGCGTGTCTTCGCACAGTTCTTTGTGCTTTCTGTGGAATTCCCTGTGACCTCCTGAAATTCGAAAGAATTTGTTTTTGTAAATAGAGATGATGTCAGCTATATTAGAGATTGTTTTTTTCGATTTATGGACCCGCTAGAGTCGCATCTGTGTCAAGTATTATTAATGTTATTCTAAATCAAAATAATATATTGTTTCATAACGAAAAAAATTTAGGTATTTTAATAACAGTTTTTTATTTTATGTTCAATAACAGATTGAAAACACGTTTTCGTCATTTTTATTTCGGCAAAAATTTTATGTAAGTATAATTTTTGTAAAAAAAAATCAGCTGCTTTACACACATTGCCCACAGTCTTTCACTTATGTAAAAAGTAAGAAAGAAGCCAGGTGCAGTAACTGCAGGTGTGTGTCATCCAAACTTTGAAATATATACCTATCTTAAATTTTAAAAGACATTTCATTTTATATTAATATCTGAGAGACAATATAGTGTGTTATCAGATGGAATAAGTATAGCAAATTGTGTGAAAGTCGGGACATCGCAAAAAAAGTGCAAAATATGTTTATATTATGCATATAAATACAATTTTTATTTAGATAGTATGTACGATTGGAGAACACCACAAAAACACATAAGACAAGATATAAAAATTATTTTAAGAGGCATTAATTGAAATTAAGTAGGTATTTTGTCAAAGAAAGCTAAAAATGGGAAATCGCGACATAATCCTTGGGAAGGATTGATTAAAATCTTGTGATTGTAGGAAAAGACCATGCACAACCGTTGACAGGCAATCAATAAAAACAGTTAACACATAATATTTGAATAATTATCACAAAGTGTAACTTTCATATGACATTGATACGGTTTTTCATCAATCTTGACAGATTCGAGTTGTATACTAGACGTGTAGGTATGTAATTATATCATAATGTGGATGAGTCAGTTTATAAATAATTTATATTGATTCCTTTCAAATTTCTATACCCTATATAAATGTTAATCGTTTAGCCTAGCGTAATACATTTGAATGTCATTTGAATAAGATTTATATCTATGTGTATCTTACTATTATCGCATTTTATAAAGATTTATACAGTGAGTCTCGAAAAAGGTCACCTTCCACATGACTTTTTAAATTTTTATTTTGAGTTTTGTATTATGTATGAAAAGGTTCTAACTTCCTGTTTTACCACCCAACAATATTAGTCATATAATTTTGCTTTTAGCATACAAATGCGCCTTCACTTTGGTCAAAACCTCATGTAGTCATGTGAAGGCTATTTACTCTACAACTATTCTTAAAAGTCAACATAAGACCGAAAGGCTTTTCTTACATTTATATATTTCTTTTAGTATTTTGGCTATAATTTATCTATAATTTTACTGTTTCTTGAACAGACTGTTGGTTGAATTTCTTCTATCATTGACTTTTTGTTGAATTATGTCTCTACTTTATCTATCTATTAGGATTCTTTTTTGTTACTTCTACAGATCTAATAGTGCTTAATATTATTTCTACATAAATATTCAATCGATCTACCATAGATTTGTTGACATATTTTTCTTCTTTTCTCTTTTTGAAATGGTCTCTCAAATGCAGTCTTGCATCCAAAGTTATACCTAGTACTTGGGTAGTATTTATGCTCACATGGAATTTGTTATTTTCTTTTATATGTGCAGATTTGATTTAATTTAGGTTAATTAGCCAACGTCCAATCATTAATTTTATCTGTAACGTGTGTGTTGCTTCACGGCACTTGGGCCTTATTAGGCTCTTTGTGCATTCTCCTAAATTTATAAGCCCCTCTTAGCTCGTCAGATGTAGTTGACAACGTTGGCGAGAGGTACTTACTTCTCTTATATCAGCCAATGTTAGCCAAAACTCGAACTCAAATCTAATAAATGATAGCGTCGGGCAATTGTAGAGGACATTGCCGATGGTATCATCTTCTTGTTCGCACCCCCTGCATAGTGCGGATTCTGACAGCCCCATGCTATGGAAATGCTTACGTTATTAGGGTCAGAATGCCTGTGATGAGGCGCAGATTCTGTGAAAAGGTCCCTGGCAACTCTGCAGCTTCTTGTTTCATCTCACCTTTCCTTGAATGCCACAATAGAATGTTATTTAATTAAGTTTGTCCCTACCGATGTTTTCAGTCCAATGGAAGAGCTCGGTCCAAAAAGTATTTGGTTGGCTGCCTTCTTGGCTAGTGAATCAGCAAGACGGTTATATTTCAATGTGATTCACCTTAAGGTGACCACCTTGTTGATGGATACTTTGACCAAAGCTTTGTGACATTCTAGTACTAACCCTGAGTAAATTCGTCGTCTGTCCAGGGTGAGTAGTGCTTGTCTGTTATCTGCCTAGATGAGCATGTTCCTTCCAGTGATATTGTTTCTGGTGATTTCTTTTGCTGCTATGAGAATCCTCGTAAGCTCGGTTTGAATTATAGTGGCACTATTGCTCCAGACCATTTTATGTTTAGGTTTAAGGATCTGGAGTATATTCCACATCTTGAGCCTTGTTTTGTTTTAGAACCGTCGGTGTAGATATGCATCGTACCTGCCATTTCCGGCTCTTCTATTCATTCCATTATAACTTTATTATAGACGTTATGTCTTGGTGAGGTAGAGTCCATGTTCGCTTGAAGCAGTGCAAGCGTATCGAATGACTTCAGCCAAAAGCGACGTCTAGTCTCACCAGATCCTACATCAGGTTATATTCCAATGAGACTAATAATGACCTCCATAGCTCTGATTGGTGTGGTTTTCATGGCTCTTGTTATGTTGAGACATGCTGTTCTTTGAATATGTTTGCGGATAGCTGTCAATTTTTGGGTGAGAGGCCCCAGGTACGCTCCACGGGCCGACGATATTGTTCTTAAGCAATGTATGTTTTTTTAACTGTTTTTCAGGTGTTAGTTCCATATTGACTTACTGCCAAAGATGAGATCTAGATAATTCATCTCTGTTACAAAGTTTAGTTTTGTGTTTTGGGGCTCCGGAGGTTTTAGTTTTTCTTGCGAAATGGACCATTTCTGTCTTTTTTGGATTGATAGACATGAATGGTTCTCACAGCACCGTTCTATATTTTTGAGACGTACATGTTCCACGGTAGAAGTATTTATTTATTAACATATATTTAAATGTTATGTAATCATTTTTCTGCATCTAATTTTGTACATTTTCAAGTCCTAAACGAAATGCATATTTTTTTATCCAATAATTTAATTGTTGTAAATTAGACGGACAATTTAAAAGTTATATTAGTTAATTAGTGAACAGTTTATTGTATTGTGTATTACGTAATTAAATAATGTATGTAACGAAGGTTAATTCGTAACAAACGTTAGATTTAGATTTAATTGCGTACTTAAATTTATCTAAGTTCAAGTTGATAACCACTGCGAATGAAAAAAGGTGTCAAAAGTATTAAAATTTATGAATGTTACATTTAAATTTTGAAGATGTTCGTTAAATAGATAAATTTGACAATATAAGTACATCCATAAAAGTAAAATCTTCGATATTATATAATAAGATAATTTTACACTATATGTATTTAGTCCTTTTTTGCTATTTTATCAGTTAATTAAATCTTCAAAAATAATCTACTGATAAATCTTAAAGTTTTTACAATAATTCTACTATTTAAATTTAAGACAAAAATTAATAGGTAATTATTGACGCTAAGAGAATATTTTCATGTTGAATACTTAATCATATTTTCAATTGCGATTTCAATAATACAAATTTTATTAAATTCTGCGTTTCAAAAACTATATTTTCAACATGAATGTCCTATTGTTAATTATACTATTAATTTTGTAAAAATTAAAAACAAGTCCTTATTAATTTATAAAAGAGTGACTTCGAGATACAATTTTATTAAAAATAATTTAATTATCCAGATCATCCATTGGATATTTATTGCTACGAGATTTACAAACGGATTAAATTAATCTGTGGGTTAGTTCAGTCAAATGAATTCAATACCTATACCATAGTGACAACAAAAGCATTATCTAAGCATCAAATTTGAATAGGACCTATGTAACCCGTGATTCATCATACTACAACCCTAATTATTAGCCACAGGCGGAGCTGTGTGATGGCAGACGGGAGTAATATTTTATCAGGATAAATTGAATAATACATACAATACATATACAAAATGCTTAAAATTGTATAAACTATTTTTCTTGATAATGTAATTCGAAAGTTTTTGCATTAAAAGCGAAAAAAGTTACAAATTTTTATTTGGAAAAGCATCATAAGTAATTTTAAAGTGATGCCAAGAGATGACGCAAGTGTCGTTTTTCCTATCGGCCGATGTCTTTCGCTTGAAGAAGTATCGACTTATTTCACGAAAACCGACACATCTCGAAAAGTGTCGGAATTACGCACGATTAATTTATCAAGAAAAGTGTCATATTTTTGTTGTGTGACGTTTTTAACGATAAGATAAGTAACAAATTGATTATTTTAATCAGTATAGTGATTCTGTTTGAGTTATGTCAGTTTTCTTGAAATAACAGTTAATGTAATGGAAAGTAATATGTATTAATTTTGGAAATATGTCTGTTTTCTCTTACATACTGATTCTGCAAATTTTTTCAAACATCGTGTAAAAATTATTCTTGTATTTGTTCACTGCTACTTCTGTTAACGGGTTAAATATTACTAACTTTTTTAGTAGGTATTATAATTTTTTATTAACGGTGTAAAAGTGCATTTTAAGCACTAAGAAATTTAGCCTGTAATGTAGGTAAACTTTTAAATCTTCAAGTAATCTTTATTGGCTTGAAAATAAGCCCAGCCAACTAGCATGGTAAAGTTAATTAACTATGAATTAGTGTTTATACATTGGGGATGATGTTCAAAACATCCCGCTGTTCCCTGTTGGAAATTTCTCTTGTGCCGTCGCTGTTGTTAGGGATAAATTGAATGGCAATGTATTTAATAGCTCCGTGAGTCACTGGGTGCTAAGGATGAGGGCATACTTTTTAAAAAACCGTTTTTCTGATGATGATAGAGAGCAGTATG